CTCAAATCGTCCAGGCCGCAGAAATCATCAAGCCTATCATCGAGAAGCGTCGCGCACTTAAGGCCGCCGCTATCGCGGATGGCCGCACCCCGCCAGAGTTTAATGATGCAATCGATTGGTTCGAAGCGGCTTCGAAGGGCAAACACTACGACCCGGCTATTTCCCAGCTGTTTTTCTCAACAGTGGCTATCCACACTACCACTGACCTCTTGGGCCAGGTCCTTGTCGACATTGCCCGCAACCCTGAAATCATCGAGCCCCTGAGGAATGAGATCATTGATGTGCTGAGCGCAGGTGGGTGGAAGAAGACTTCTCTGTACAGCATGAAGCTCCTTGACAGTGTTGTCAAGGAAAGCCAGCGTATGAAACCTTTGCAGCTTGGTACGCTAATACTCCCTACAACCTCACACGTTGAGACATCATCAGCTAATCAGCCATGACCAACACAGCTAGCATGCAGCGCGTCGCTGTCGGCGACGTGACTCTCTCCGACGGCACATTTATCCCGAAAGGCACCTCCGTCTCTGTCTCCTCGCACGCACTCTTCGATGCGAACGTCTACGAGAACCCCGAGAAGTGGGATGGCTACCGCTTCCTCCGCATGCGTGAGCAGCCTGGCAAGGAGAACGTATCACAGCTCGTCTCCACAGCCCCAGAGCACCTCGGCTTCGGTCACGGAAAGCATGCTTGCCCCGGGAGATTCTTCGCCGCCAACGAGATCAAAATCGCGCTGGTCCACATCTTGCTACAGTATGAGTGGAGACTGCCTGCCGGTGCCGATACTTCGATCGTTGACTTTGGCATCAACCCGGTCCTGAACCCGATGCTGGAGCTGGAGATCAGAAGACGCGAGGAGGAGGTTGACATGAAGTTCTGAATGCATGCAAGGTAGAGCAACTTAGATGTATAGAGCGCTGTAGTGTTGAATCTGGCATGGTATTAGTGAACTCTGCTGCTGTAATAGCGAATGTTTCTCGTGGAAGAGACTCGAAGGTCATTGAATTGAAGTATTGTCGACGTTATTTCCCCAGTGCTAGGCATTTCATATTGGGAGGATTGTCGATCGGGACCGACCGATCGGTTGTGGCGGACAAGGTTTCCCGAACGAAGACGATTTTCGTGATTCGCCATTGGCCTAAACAAAAACTACCCCAAGAGTCGTTCATCAATTATTAATAGACGCCGCCATTGGTTAAGTTTTGTATAGCTCATTGGATGTGTCGTCATCGGAGGCGTTGTGCGACGGTTCTTCGAATGCGGGGTTGAGGGGTGAAGTCCATATCGGCTATATAACAATCGGCTGCATGGCCTTTTTAAGTCACACTAGACGACCGCATTGTAGGACGTATATTTGCTTCATTCAATTTGAGACAGCTCGATATTGACGACCGTCAACATGGCTCAGAATTTACCTTTCAAAGTAAGACCGAAGCTTACCGGATGCTCAGGTTGCGCTGACATGAGTGTTCAAGCTATCAAACCCTAATCTGCTCAAGACAGATGCGTACGTCCACGGCTCCTGGACGAAAGCATCATCGGGGAAAACATTCGACATCGAGGATCCAGGAACAGGCAAAGTCTTCGCCTCCAGCCCCGATTTCAACAAGTCCGACATCGATGCAGTGGTGAAGTCATCGCACGAGGCCTTTCAGAAATACCGCTACGAGAACCCGCGATCAAGGGCGAAGAAACTTTTAGAGTGGGACCGACTGATTCGGGAAAATCGCGATGACATCGCCACGGTACTGACCCACGAGTCCGGAAAGCCTCTAGCGGAGGCCCAGGGAGAACTTGACTATGCACTGGGCTTCACCTGGTGGTTCGCTGGGGAGGCTGAACGCATTCGTGGGAACATCTCAACTCCTTCTGCGCCTAATAGGAGGGTCTTGGTGGTGAAGCAGCCGATTGGTGTGACGGTCGCGTTGGTCCCATGGAATTTCCCCATTGCGTGAGCAGATCCTTTGGAATAGTTCAAGACGTGTGCTTACAAGGGGTGTTAGCATGATTCTGCGCAAGGCCGGAGCTGCTTTTGCCGCTGGATGTACTATGATCGCCAAGCCATCCCCAGAGACTCCACTCACCTGCCTCATCCTCGCGAACCTCGCCACGCAGGCTGGTTTCGGTCCTGGTGTATTCAACGTCATCACAACATCTCTTGATAACACGCCCGAGGTGGCCGAAGCACTGTGCAAACACCCCTTGACCAAGAAAGTGTCGTTCACCGGCTCTACCGCTATTGGGAGTCTTATCGCTAAGCATTGCTCCGAGGGCCTCAAAAAAGTCACCCTGGAACTTGGAGGAAACTGCCCATTCATCATCTTTGACGACTGCAACCAGGAACAGGCCTTGGAAGCATTGCTTGCACTGAAGTGGAGACACGCAGGGCAGGCGTGCATCACAGCGAACAGAGTCTACGTACAGGCCAAGATATACGAGGAGTTCTTGGACAAGCTGGTCGAACGCACCAAGACCATCAAGATGGGCCACGGAGCAAAGGACGGTACGACAATGGGGCCTTTGACGACACCCCGGGCAATTCCCAAGGCCCAAGCTCACGTCAAGGATGCCGTCGAGGCCGGCGCCAAGGTGGTGCTGGGCGGCAAAGCAGGCACCGAAGTGGGCCTTGAGGCCGGCTACTTTCACGAGCCTACCATTCTGCGCGACATGAAGCAATCGATGCTGATCAGCCGAGAAGAGACCTTTGCGCCGGTCCTTGGAGTTTACAGCTTCGACACCGAGGACGAGGTGGTGAAGTGGGCAAACGACACGAGCATGGGTCTCGCCAGTTACTTCTTCACCAAGAACATGGACCGGACCTGGCGCCTCATGGAGAATCTCGACGCAGGCATGATCGGGATGAACACTGGCAACTCGTCGGCAGCCGAGTCTCCTTTCGGCGGAATGAAGCTGTCGGGGTACGGCAAGGAGTCCGGAAAGGATGTTGCAATCGAGGAGTACCTGGTTTCGAAGACGGTAACAATGACGTTGGAGGACCACTACTAACCCTATCTGGATATTGAAAGCTGTTGGATTGATGCCTGAGTTCATCTAATGCCTATGATATGTCCGTTCGGAATAGATACAACCGAAATAATAATATTACGCGGGTTCGAGATATTATGCCGCCGCCACTCTCCTCCCGATGATTACGCCTTCTTTGTAGCCGCTCCACATTGTGATTCCGCACCACGAATTATTGTAAACCCGGTCGGAGCGACGAAGGTGCCGCATCGTCCGTTGTCGCACACGCCTTGTTGGGCACCCAACCCGCAGACACGACCGTTCGCAGCAAGTTGTTGCGCTGATGGCTGATTTCGTTTGTTGTAGTCGGCAAACTCCTTGGGGAGTAGCGTTAGAGGGAGCGCTTCCGCCTTCATTGGTGCTGTGGGTGTGTTAGCTTTTCAAAGACGCAAGACTTAGATGGTAGAGGTCATACCTGCGACGACAGCCTCCGCTGCAAGCGTGGCAACACAGGCAAGATAGGATAGACGCATGCCTTCGGTTTGAACTGAGGACTTTCACTCTGTTAAATTCGGCGATCGGGCGTGGCGGACTCTTGGAGACGATGGTCTCAAGAAACCTGTGTTTGGTGTCGCGGTCAACTTTCCAAAGCAAAAGCAGTTATTCGCCCAAGTTTTGATAGAACGCCGTGAAATGCAACAGCTAAGCAATCAACATTCTGGGGAAATCCGGGGATGTGGGCGACTAAAGAGGCTCGGTACTTGATACTCATTTTTTGTTCGGAACAGTCAAGCCGTGAGACGTTGACAACCGTGTGTCTCGGATCGATGTCACTTCTGAGCCGTCGATCATGCATCGTGTGAATACCTGGTCCTGGTCTATCATCCGACAAAAATCATGCGAGTTGAGACGAGGATACCCCAGGGCAGGGGTCTAGCGAACGTGCCGGCGGAATTGGGTTCACGTCGGCATTCATGAAGGTAAGCGAGAGATAATAGTACCATTGATATTGCAGACAGGCTATTTAAAGCAAAGAAAAGTCCCGCAACTGAGCCGCATCTCCCGTCCAGAAGCAATTCGGCGTTGTACGACTTCACATCGGACTGTGCGGCCCCCATCGAGCCCGGATCGCGGCGACGTCATGTCTCAAACACCGTCCAAAGTCGTGGGTTTACCAGGAACGATTATTTGGAAAACCAAGCAACCTTCCTGCAATGTGGAACACTTGCATCGCACGGAGAGACTGTTATGTTATTCCGCCGTTTGAAGCTTTGCAATATTTCTATCAGAGCCACAAGAGGGATTTATTTCAATCGTCCTTTGTCTCCCGTTCTTGAATACAACCGATTGCAACCCTCTTTACCGCGCCTAAAATGCAACAGAAACCTTGCGAAATTCTAGTCGGCTAGTAGGGATCATAGGCGACATGAATGAAAACCTGAGGAACACCGAGGCATTGCATGGCAAGGCATCACTGGATAACATCGTCTTCCGCTGAAGGAATTGCCAGACAAGCACACTCAATGGACGCTGTGGCTGTTGCTTATGTACAGCCACCGATGGACTCTGTGGCTGTGCCTGCAGCCACCGTGCCACACTTGGTTCGACGCGCTCGGGCCATGAAAGCAGCGGCTCGCCAATTGAATTTACTCTTCGCTGCTTAGGCCCTGATCTTCTCGTTGCCAGTCGCCAATAGCCAGTCGCCAGGGTACATACGCGTGGCTGGATGTATCTTAACAGCGCGCCTCTGGTTACTGGTATTAGCGATAAAAAGTACTTTTTTCTAGTACTAATAACTAAGTAGTTTTTAGTCCTTATAGCTAAGTCTAGGCAGTTTCTAGCCTGTTGCAGCTATAGGTATAAAAGAGGACTTTGCATAAAATTATAACTAGAAGGTCTCTAATCTGAAGGGGTAAAGTGCCTGCATATACGAATAATTAGGGTAGTTATGCTGTTTCTGGCTCTGATTATTGGCGACTGGCAACGAGAAGATCAGGGCCTTATCCTGTCTTCCAACTTAGTAAGAAACCATCGCAAAAATGCCTCTTCCCCCAGAGATCATCGACCAAGTAGGCACCTGCTCCCGGCTGAATGAAGATGAGAAGCTGCTAACTGACATAGATCGTCGACCAATATGTCTCAGTAGCCAGAGTCCAGACCTTTCATGAGGTCCGTGACCTCGATGAGTGGGTTAACTTCACCGGCGGCCGGGACTCCACAGCGGTATTCTACGGTGGGGAGAACGAGCCTTACGAATCGACCTTCTTTCGTACGGATCTAGACCTTCAGGCCTTGTTGACTTTGCACCTTGTATCCCGCCAGTGGAATCGCTCTGCCAATAGGCTCTTTCGGAGGCATCTTTGGTGGAACATCCGCCTCGATGACCCCGACCTGATCAAACGCATTGCAGCCTGTTGTGGCGATCACAATGCCAGTCTGAGCAGTTCAGTGAGAAGTCTGAACCTTGAGGACATGCACGACTTGAATTCGTTCTCGCGACTCTACTCCTTTGATTGGCAAGAGTAAGGCAGCCATCCTCCGCATTAAGCTTGTTTAACCCGAGTTTGATACAGTGGTGTGGAGACGATAGCTGACCCGAGGGAATATCTATAGGTTTGTAGGCCAAAATGTCGACCCAAACTACATCGTACTAAACTCTAGCTATGTTGATTCCCCCAGCTCTTTTGGCAAACGGGGATTGCGAGCAGACCCGCAGTTGCATTATGATAAAGCGGAAGAACATACCACGATCCGGCGTCTTTTCGACTCACTTGATTGTATCGAGAAATTCACTGCAAGGGTAATGGGCGCTTATAGTCGAGAGAACTTACGGGCCAATTGCTACGATATGGAGGGAATGAGCGAATTCGTCAGGACAATTCAATATGGCCTCAGAGCTACGGCATTCAATCACCTTACGGACCTCAGTCTATTGGTTCCCAGCACATGGTACGTTGGAGAAATCACAACTGTCCTGTCTCAAGATGCCCGAAATCAACTGCGGAAACTCCGCTTAGTCATTGTCGATGAAACGGGGCCGGGTGGGAGCGACTGGCAGATGATATCCGACGGCGACGACTACAACGACGGAGACTTCACGGACATTGCTGGAACCGGCTATGCCCCGAGCAACATTCAAGTTGACTATCCCAACAGAGAGCATCAGGATGCCCTTTGGGCATTCGTTGGGTCCTGCCAAAGGCTTGAATCACTGGCTATCATCGCGTCACACTATCTTGAACTTGATCGACTCCGATGGATCCCACAACCTGGATATAGAGGCTTGGTAGACCTCGTACTTCACCGTATCTGGACGAACGTACAGTCGATCTTGAAGCTCTTGACAGTCGCGCCCGTAAACGAAACCAAGCTGACACCTGTGGCACGGCGAGTTTCTCTCGAAGACATCAAGGTGTATGGAAACGGTGGCAACTGGGACAAAGTCTTTGTCTTCCTACGCACACAGTGCCCCGACCTGGAACTTTTTCGCGCCTCCCAGTTGACCTACTTCACCAGCCATGTGCGGCATGAACATAATAACAGGCCGTGGGAGAACTGGAATGATATATGGACAAATGATGACCAAGATAATCACGACAGACATCATTTACACATGGTGGATAGAAAGCTTATCAACAGGGGTGGTAGTGAGGCATACTGCAGTCACTATCCGGTCTCCACACTTGGTTCAGATTCGGAGTGGGGAGATGATTATGACACAGAGACGGGCTGGATACCAGACAACTAAATTCATACCCAAAGTTGAAGTGCAGTTGAAGGGAGAGTGGAGAAATGATAAAGAACAGCTCTGCCAGAAACAAATTACTTTCTACCTCATGTGTCGCTTCTAACATGGTTTCCGCAGGGTCATCGTTGGAAGACTAGGAGAGAATGCGACTCACGAACATCAGGCTTCAAATCAATCTTGAATTTGAAGTATCTGATGTATACGAATTGTCAAAATTGTGAATGGGTTGTACAAGGATTGAATACAGGCGGTAGATCGCCCTGCACCACAAGATACACCGTTTTTCCCGTCTGGGAAACTCCGTAACTCAACTGAAAAACGGTTCTCACTTTCGCAAAAGCGGGGGATTTGGCAGGTATGTAGTTCATTGATTCATGTGTCTTGCCGTTTCCGTACTCGCCATTTTCCGACTGAGATCATCTGAGACACAACTGCCGGACCTAGCTACGGCCGTTGAGGACGGTAATGGCTGTCTTGGAAAGAATGGAATCAAATGTCACACATTGCTCGTAACAATATCTGGCGGTGGTATATGTCGAAGAACCGAGTTAAATGTCTAGCTAGTCTTCAGGTTACGTATCAACAGCAATGGAGGCACGTTAAGGCCATAACAGCCCGAACTCCATACAATCGTCTGCTTGCGGATCCTCTATCTAGCTGATCTCGAAGCCTCGGGCACGATATCCGTTTGTCTTAGATAATGTCTCTCATTGTGATGTCATGGGTGCTCGGGACAAACGGCATAGCACCGCCGTCGGCGCGGTCCGAGTCGTTTGAGCGCAACAGCCGCTAGTCTCACTTCCCCGCTCCAAAGTTATCCTCGGGGCACTTGTGTGCGGCATGAAAGCTCTCTATAGCCACACAGTTTGAACCGGCCATAAGATAAACACATGCCCGACCACCCCGCGGTTTGAGACGCATAGTAAGTTCCGATGTCTCAACCGCCCCTGGAAAGGCGTTGATCAGGATGACGCTTTCATGAGATTTACTGTCTCGCTTCCAGAATAAGCGTATCTCGTTCTCTCTTTAGCTTTTCTCTAGAGTCCCACGAGGACGTTTTCGAACACCGCTAATGGGCACGAATTGGAGTAGACGTGGGATTCCATGGCATTTAGATCAGATAGCTAGATGCTGGATGAGATATCTGGAACCTGGCTGAAAGCTGTCTCAGCCGCAGTTTTGCCTACGTCCCGAAACACATGAAAAGGCCGCACGCTAGCGCCCTATCTTTGCAATAGGAATAAATGGCGCAGAGTGAGAGATTCTTGATACTCCTTCCGGTATAATGACCGTTCCTTGGGCCTCTTAATGCTTACCTACCGTAGATCCTGTGTCAGATCTAAAAGGTATGACCAGTAAAGATGAGTATCTTCTAAAAGACATGGATGAAACTATCAACAGTGTATTTGCGAAAGTACATTGTATGATGTAATGCTTGTTTATAGTGAGTCCAATGAAAGTGTGGCATTTGATTCGGAACAGATTCCGAAAAAGCTAAACCTGTGAAATTATCTGTTTGGTTTACTTGCAAATCGCTTGTTGCGGTGGAGATTCCTAGGCGACATATGGGCAGACGCAGTGCAACAAAAATATAAAGTCATGCGCCTTACCCATAGCTGTAAAACCCTTTTGGCAACAACATTGAAAGCTTCCATGACCATATCAGATACATCAACATATCCGCCTTTTCTTCCTATCCATCAATCCAGCTGCCCATTATGTCCATCGGAGGCAGCATCCATGAAAGGGTGAAGCGGAATGAAGAAATAACCCGTGGTGACCTGCGGAAGGCCCGCAGCGACCCCTCTTTCCAAATCGACGATGCCCCGGACGGTTACAGCGCACTTGCCTGGGCAGTCATGTTGGGCAACCTCACCAACATCCGACTCCTCATCAGCAGCAAGGCGGATCCCAGAGCACGATACAAAGACCAGTCTCTTCTTCATATGGCAGTCACTGCTAAGGAGAATGCCTTTGAAGTTGTTAAGATCATTCTCAAGGACGAGTCCGTTGACAGAAACGCGCGAGAGGGGCGCAGACCCAACGACACCCCGCTCATGACGGCGCTACGAAACCAGGCAGACCCTCGGATCATTGATGCTTTGAAGAAAGCGGGAGCTTCCGAAACTGTCAAGAACAGCAACGGAGAAACGGCCAAAGACATTGCCAACGGCCTCATCAGCCCCGGGATCACCGCGCCTCTTGAGGATCCCGAGAACCAGGGTTCAATCGGACCTGCGCTGGCCAAGTTCATCATCTCCGCAGTGCTTCTGCTGTTCGCATACTGCAAGCCCTGGAAAACCCTCAAGGATGCTCTTGCTGCAGCCTTCAAGCAGATCAACAATGAAATCGGTAAAACCAATCCTGGGGACAAGCCTCAGGTAAGCGCATCTGCCCCTTCCAGCTTGCTCTGATGAAATGACTGACGTCTTTGAAGAAGCCACGGTTGCCAAGTTCCTACCAGGACTGCGTAGACTCAATCAGGAAGATCATCAAAGACATGGGTCTCGACGACACATACCCACCGGACCATCCGTTGATCGACGACATTGCCGACGAAGCATGGGAGAGACAAAAGGATGCAGGCACAAAGACCGAGGATCCGGGCGAGTTCAACGAGAAGCTGCGTTGCGCCTTGTACCAGCCTATCCTTTACTGCGGTAAGCCTTCTAGGCACGAGAGGTAACCTGAGCATTGGCTGATGAAGATCTCACGAACAGATGACAGTGGGTCCATGGAAGGAAATCGGTGGACCGCCCAGACTGATCTTGTTGACGACATTGGCGTGCTGATGAACTCATTTGCCCCTGAGAACATGGGTGTGCACATTCGCTTCCTGAACAGAAATGACGGGGGTCTCGACAACGTCCGGGGCAGCGATATCCGCGGGAAGTTCAACTTCAAGCCTAACGGATCCACCAAGCTGGGAACAGGCCTCAACGAAAAGATCCTCAAGCCGTTTGTGTACGATATTCTCGACAAAGAGGAGGACTTCAAGAGGCCGCCTCTCATCATCACAATCACAGACGGCGAACCCAACGAGGAAGATCAGAACACATTTGCCAACGGAATATCGACCTGCAGTCAGAAATGCTCTGCGGCGTATTATTCTCCTGACTGTCAGTATACTCTGGCTTTATTCGTTGCATGACAGACTACTGACATTGTTGGTAGTTGTCAGGTTCCTCGTTAACCAGGTTGGCGACGACGCTAAGGCTGCGCTGTTCCTCGACGGACTCCAGAATATCAGCAAGGAGAAGAAGTACAAGGATCTTCTTCACGTTACCTCAGGTCTTTTTTCCTCTCTATTCGCATGTTGACAATGCACTGACTTGTGTCAGATAAACTTGATCAGAAGTATTACGAGCTTCGAAAGAACAAGAAGGAGCTTAACCTCTGGGTACGTAGAGCTCACTCCTCCAATCCCATCTACCCCAAGGCTGGCTGAACTCTTCGATGTGGACCTCTGGACTAACACGTTGGGCACCTCTAGCTCTTTGAGACAATCTTGCCTCCCCTGCCCTGAGTATCGCAGACTTGGACTACGTTACACACAGGGCACCAGAGGACATGGTGTCATGGGATAAGATGCATTAATAACATGGTTCAGTCCGGTAGTCTATGCAAATGAAATCCAAATCTTTGATCAACGTAACAGCCATTACCAATGACAGCGAGCGAGGCCCTATCGGTATATTTCCTTAGGTAGTAACTGGTAAAACTTTCAATGTCATGGAAATATGTTTCCATTTCGATATCAAATGGTAGCTTTGTCGTTCTATGGCCCGTCTCTAATCTATTCGAGACCTTTACAGCTGCGGAGTAGGTCCTGTAGCAATGCCCTGGCGATTGAAGTAGATCTTCTGTCCCGTCCTCAGACTCTCTTGCAAGCCCGCAGCTATCCTCAGAGACGTGACGGCTGATCTCAGCGGGATAGGCATGTCCTTTCCGTCAAGAATTGCGTCTACAAATGCGTTTGCCTCCACCACAAAAGCCGAGATGTACCTGTCATACCATGAAGGCGTCGGCTCAACCTTGACAAATCCATCACTCGCAGCGATCTCCACACGATTCTTTCTTGGAGTTGCGTTGACCGTCAACTTGCCCTCGGTACCAAATATCTCAGTGACGTTGTCGTATCCCACGGCGGAACTCCTGGAATGATAGAAATGGGCGATCTTGCCATCCCAGTACTCACACAGCCCAATGGCATTGTCGGCGTCTCCAGTCTTTTTGAGATCTGGGAAGATGTCGGCCGTACCAATTGCTGACACAGACTTTGGCACTGAGTCCTCACCAAGGAACATCAGCGACAAGTCGATGTCGTGAATTGCAGTGTCGTAGTAAATTCCTCCGGAGTTGGCAAGATACTGGATGAAGAACGGACTCTGGTCCCCTTTCTCTATGCCGTGGGATCTGAAAACGAATGGCCTTCCAATTGTTCCTTCCTTGATCTTGGAAAGAGCGTCCTGATAACTGTCGTCGAAGCGACGGGAGAACGCCACCATTACCTTTGTGTCGGGTTTGGATTCCACACGCCGACACAAGTCTTCAAGCTGCATACATATTAGCGTTCGCGGTTCATCCAATGCAGACGGTGACAGCATTACCTCTGGGACAGAGTTGCAGATTGGCTTTTCGCACAGAACATGGATGCCTTTCTCGAATGCCGCAATAGTCTGCGGCATGTGAAGCGCTGTGATAGACGAGATGATGACAGCCTCGAGTCCAGGGGTCTCAATCATTTCTTCGAAAGTGCTGTACACCTTCACTCCGTAAGGCTCAAGATTGACAGCGGCCCAATCGAGATCAGCTTTTGCAGGGGAGCACGCGCACAGAAGCTTAGCTCGGGGGACTAGTCGCAAAAGGTTTATGGCATGACGTTGACCCATGCGGCCGATGCCAACGACTCCGACGTTGAGGATCTTGTGTTGGGAGGCCATCGTCGGAGGTCGTCCTTTTGGAAGTTAGGTGAGGGTGGTCAGCTTCTGTTGCAGGAAGGCGTTTGATGAATGACGTGTGCGAGATACAGCTAGAATGATGGAAGAGCAGAGCAGCCAACGCCTCGCTTAAAGAGTGCACGATAAGTCTTTTATGGTCACGACCGAAGTCCCGTTGGGCGTCTGCAATAATCCGCGGGTTTTGTTGCTATTTCAGACGAATGCAGGGAGAACCGGCGAAAATGCTCCCAATTGGTAATACCTTGATTGTCAAATCGCCGACCGTCATTGCGGGGGACATCCCGAATACCGACGTCAGCAGGGCCGGGGCGGCCAACTCAGTCTACGGAGACTATATAAGATGGGTCTTCGGTCAGTGAATTCCGTAGAATTGGCTGAGTCCTCATCCGCCGAATCATTCTAAAATATTTGAATACAGCGCATTCCTCTGTCAAGCGATCTCTAACTAGCACAGTCTGACGTTGTTCGTCTCAGCCAATCACATCACAATGTCGGAATTACCAGCGATTCGTTGGGGAATTGTTGGTGAGATCTTCCCCCGCCCCCGCATGGCGCCAAGCTTGCGCTGTGTGACAGACTGGCTAACGAGCCACAGCAACGGGGATGATCTCCTCCTGGTTTGTGGAGGATCTTTTGATCTCTCGATCAGATGCGAAGGTCAAGCATATTGTGCAAGCAATTGGCAGCTCCTCTGTCGAGAAGGGGAAAGACTTTGCGAACCAGTACTGCCCCTCAAGTAACCCCACTATCTACGGGTCTTACAACGAAATCTACGCGGATCCGAACGTGGATATTCTCTACATCGGAACTCCACATGCATTTCACAAACAAAACTGCCTGGATGCGATTGCAGCGGGAAAGCCCGTCCTTTGCGAGAAGGCTTTCACCCTGAATGCCCGAGATGCGAAGGAAGTGTTTGACTTTGCCAAGGAGAAGGGAGTTTATGTTGCTGAAGCAATGTGGCTCCGCCACCGCCCACTTGTTCAGGACTTGCAGCGTATGTTGCACAAGGAGAAGATCATTGGCGACGTCTTCAGGGTGTACTCCGAGTTCGGTTTGGAGATGGATATCCCCAACCTACCGGACGGATCCAGGTACAAGCAACCTCGCCTCGGTGCAGGCTCACTACTTGATCTTGGCATTTACACCTTGACGTGGGCTATCCTCGGTTTGGATGCTGGAACCCCAGCCGCTTCAGAAACACCCAAGATTCTCGCCGCTCAAACGCATTGGGGCGAGGTTGAGGTGACAACCAGCGTGATCCTTCAGTACCCGTCAACAGGAAGGCAAGGCGTGATCACATCCACAACAATGGCGACGGGCAACCCGGACGTGATAGCCCGAATTCAAGGAACTAACGGCACTGTTGAAGTTCATGGAACGGTTCCTTCCGACCCTGAGTCTTTCACTGTCTACGAGAAGTTCTGGAGAGACCAGAATGCGGGCATTGTGAAGAGAGACGTTGCAAAGAAGCACGACTACAAGCCAGTTGGGCGTGGCTACTACTGGGAAGCTGATAATGCTGCATTGGATGTTTTGGCTGGAAAGCTGGAAAGCTCGGTCATGCCATGGTCAGAGACTATACGCGTCATGGAAATCATGGACGAAATAAGACGACAAGGTGGAACTGTGTATCCTCAAGACTCTGAGCAATGATAGATTGTCATGTTTGCTAGATTTACTAGAGGTAGAGGTTGCTAAATACAGAATGAATGTAGATGTATTTCGTTTAGAGACTTCTATCCTAACTCGAGGGCTAGTGTCGTAGGTTTGCTCCTCTCAGCTTTTCTGCAAAACGCATATTTAATAGGGGCTGTGCTTTGATACAGCGCCTCGATGCGATCTGGAGATAGCTGTCAAGCACTAATCCAACATCTCCAGCGCAAACTCCTTCACCAACAATGTTCCACCCAGATTCTTCTTGGCCCAATTGAAGACGCCAAAACGGTACCCCATGAAGAAGTACCACTCGGCGTTGAGCGCATACTCTGGCCCAAGCTGTTCGAAGTTTTGCCCATCAACGCTGTACCAGAAAGAGGCATATCGCGGAATGTTGCTAGAGGCTCCCAAGACTGAGGGCGTGATGTCGGCTTTGATCCGTAGCCACAGGTCTGCACCTTCGATCACAGGACCCTCTGCCTTGACGTAGCCATTGGAGGTGGTCAACCAATCTTGCTCTGAATCCATGCTGATGCCATCAACATAGACAAGTTGCGCCACCCCATCGGTCTTATGGATACCGATGTACGCGCTGTCTTGTCGAAGTGCTGTGACACCAGCTTGGTCCCCGTCAATCATTCCAGAGATGTCAAGCCGAAACGTTCCTTGGCTCTTCGGCCCGAGAATTCGTTGCGTGAGAGTATTTGAGGCTCCGTATAGTCCCTCACAAACCGTTGCTGTGTTTAGAACCAGTCCATCAGGGCCTATGCTCCATGCGTCGTTATCTGGGTTATGATTCCACTCCCAACGGGGTCCAAGCGTGGCTCCCTCAAACTTGTCGATATAGGCGCCACTTCCTTCGACGGTCTTGGTAGTCCGAACGGGTGAAGGGTAGTTGACGCCCCAGCCACCATCTGCATCCGTAACTACCTGCGGCCAGCCCTCGGCATCCCATTCGATGGGGGCAAGAACTGGTATGCGACCGCCTGGATACACATCGATGAACGCCATGTACAGCCAGTCACCGTCTTCTGTGGAGACGAGGCCTCCTTGGTGGGGAGCTCCGGCCCCTTCGACTGGTGCTTTCATCTGAGCGATGACCTCCCTGATCTCATAGGGACCCCATGGGCCGGATGTCGACTTGAGCACATGCTGCTCGTCTCCTGGCTTGGTGATCCAGATGTAGTAGTTACCGTCAATGTGATAAAAGCGCGAGCCTTCGATGTACCTGTGAGCATCTTCAGTGTAAACCACCTGCAGTAATCGTCAGCGCGTTTATCAGAGACGAGCACTTCGGATATGCCTACCTCGCTCCGAACTTCCGAAAATCCATCAGGTGACAGCTGAGCAACATGGATGTCTACCGCTCCATACGCGATGTACATGGTGTCATCGGTGTCTATTAGCAGGCCCAGATCATAATAGCAATTGGGGATTGGTTCGTGATGAGTCCAAGGTCCTTCTGGGTTTGATGCAGTGAAGATATGAGTCTTGCCTTCCCCTTGAATGCAGCCGTACCAGTAGAAAATGCCGTTGCTCTGACGATATCCAAGGGAAGATGCCCAGACCCCCTTGACGTATGCTGCGTGATTACTTCCGTTGAGAGAGAATTGGGATCCCGGGAGCTCGGGAACAGAATGAGATACGAACTCCCAGTTGACCAAGTCATAGGATCTCAGTAAGGGTGCCCCGGGAGAGTAGTGCATCGTCGAGGCGCTATAGTAGTATGTGTCGTTGACTCGGAAGACTTCCGGGTCTGCAAGATCCGCCCATAGAACTGGGTTCGTGAACGTGTTATCCTGCCGCATGACCAAAGCGAGCCCGATGCGGCCGAAGCCTAACATCGCGAGAAAGAAGATGATGGAAGCTCTGCACTGCATGCTGAAAGTGATAGATTCTGAAGATTGCTATCGATGCGTAGTTGTCTTCTGAGAATGACGGGGCGGGCTGTCCTTTCTATACTTGGTAGAAATGCAGTAATATTTGCCATGGAGATCTCAATAGTTGAGTTGACGCTCATCGGGATGTGCATCTCATGACAATCAGTCGTTCCGAAGCGAACCCTTCCGGCTAAAGCAACTTTCGAGAGTTTAGCCGAAACATGACGTGAATTCAAAGGCAACTACTTCCACTACAAGTTCTATGTGTTGTTTCCTCAGACAGTACTACGTACTGTGAATGCACGTGCTGAGGTGCCTGGGTAAACTGAGTTGCCAAGTGTCAGAAACGCTCCCCGCTCATTCGTCCGGATGCTGAGCTTCAAGATGTATGGGGTGATCATCCTCATTGGCGACGGTTCCCAAGTGGGAATTCTTCGCACGATTCCCTCTGCAAGTCTCATGAGAATGCCCACAAAGTCCAAGAAGAGCGTCACAGAGCCTTGTCGGTTCGCGGGTAAATCTAGAAACGTCGAAATGAGCAGATCAGACCCCAGTAGATCTTGTCTTCCCCGCACTCCGAGGCTTGGAAACATGGTCTGGGGGATACGATTACTCGGGACGGGATTAAGCGAGATACGATTCCGCGGGATTCGATGGTATTGGTGCGGCACAGCGTCAACTCTCAGTCTCCTCTTGTAATGATTTGCCGTCGATGCACCTTCCTCGTTTCATTACTGATGCTAGGCGCGAAAGTCACTCAAGATGGTTTACCAATGTTGCTTCTTGCTAGATGTATTTCGGTCTTACTTTTACCTTTCAGCCGGAATCACACGGCAGAAGCTTGTCACGCAATGCCAACGTAAGAATGATTACCAAGACCTCGGGATCTCTGGCTATATCCTCGGTCCACACAAGATCAAGAAGAATTGCATCTTTGATCAAGTATTTAGAGCTTTACATGGCCATTATACATGAAATGGATTGGAGGGTATAAGCCTCTACTCTAGAAACTAGTCTCAGCGCAGAAGACCGTTGACCATGGTGCTCTCTATCTTCAAGTACCTGCTGACAGGTTGGCTCGTATTCAATGGGGTCTCCTCCGTACAGGCAGAAAACTCAACATTTTACAACCCTATCTTGCCTGGATGGCACTCCGACCCTTCTTGTGTGCAGGTTGATGGAATATTCTACTGCATTACTTCCAGCTTTATTACCTTTCCGGGCCTTCCAATCTACGCATCGAAGGACTTGACCAACTGGAAACTGATCAGCCATGCGTGGAACCGAGAAGCTCAAATGCCCGGGGCAAGTCAACAGACAAAGGGTAAGTCTCACCGTTTTATGTGACTAAACTGTTGCTCAATTAGCTATATTGACATGGACGTACTTCAAGGCCAACAAGAAGGGTTCTATGCGGCCACCATCAGACATCACGATGGACAGTTTTGGGTCATATGTGAATATCTTGGCTTGCCTGATGGCATGTTGGGGACAATTTTCAAGACAATTGATCCGTACGACAACACGGCCTGGGCAGACCCTATCACGTTTCCCACACCGGCCGGAGATCTAGATCTTTTCTGGGACGATGACGGCAAGCTTTACATTCCAGGCGGAGGCCAAGGCACCGTGCTTCTTGATGTCGATCTTGAAAGTGGCACAGTCCTCAACAACACTTTCCTTTGGTCAGGAACTGGAGGTGTGTGGCCAGAAGGTCCGCACATATATCGCAAAGACAAATTCTACTACTTGTCAATGGCCGAGGGGGGGACTGAGACTGGGCACTATCAAGTCATGGCGAGATCTGCTGATCTCACTGGTCCATATACACCATGCCCCAACAATCCAGTGCTCACGAATAAGGATACAGATGAGTACTTCCAGGTATGTGGAATAAGTCATCTTGTGGAATGTTTGTCTGATTTGGAAACATAAGACGGTTGGCCACGCAGACCTGTTTCAAGACACCAATGACAACTGGTGGGGTGTCGCGTTGTCCACGCGTTCGGGACCAGAGTGGTCCATCTATCCCATGGGACGAGAAACTGTCCTGTTTCCAGTAACCTGGGAGCAGGGCGAGTGGCCAATTTTGGAGCTAGTCAGAGGCAAGATCTCTGGCTGGCAACTGCCCCCATCTACTCGAGACCTCCCTGGTCATGGCCCGTTCAACTCTGATCCCGACGTATATCAGTTCACAACAATGAGCGAGATACCACGGAACCTCATTTATTGGAGGGTCCCACGGCAGGGAGCGTTTGAGATCGCGGACTTGAAAGGCATGCATATTGTGCCTAGTCGAGGTAACCTCACTGGCGACAATGCAGAGCTCGATGGCCGATCTGGACTGTCCTTCATCGGACGGCCACAGACCGATTCTCTGTTCAACTTCAATGTGACCCTAGACGTCCCTCTCGATGAAGCTGATCTGGAAGTAGGAGTCACTCTTTTCTTGACGCAACATAATCACGCCGATCTCGGCGTAGTAGCACAACCCAAGGCCGATGGCGCCGAAGGCACTGATCGCTTCTTGCGTTTCAGGGCCACAGGAAACGATGCCCCTGAAGAATATGTCGAGAGGTTTCCCGAAACTTGGAAGGTAGATCTCATTCAACTTGAGATTTCTACACCAAATGCAACACATTACACTCTTACCGCATATTCAGCTGCAGAGCCCGAAAACAAGATCGTAATGGCTACCGTGTCGGCGAAGTTGGTCAGCGGTCAAAGTGGTCCATTTACTGGGGCCCTTCTTGGCGTCTATGCAACTTGCAATGGAGCTGGAACGGGACTTGAATGCCCTTCAGGAGGTGGCGTCTACGTGAGAGAGTGGATGTACACAGGCAAGGGCCAGTACTACACTGCCGATGACCTCAGATCTTAGCTTTGGGTGTTTAGTCATTCGGCGTGGAAACAGTACAACCCAGAATCCAAGTTTCCAACCATATCTTAAGGTAGACGTCAATATCAGCGTGTACAACTGGGCAAATTGTTTCATCACCTTCAAAAGAAGACCGACTTCGTGTGACTGCGGTGCCCCAACGTCACTCCGGCACGCCAAGCTGAGATGAGACTGATTCGGGATTTAATTCCATCGCAGATTTTACCCATTCAGAGCAGACTGTGTTATCAGCTCTGTCTTGTTCAAACGAGCTCGTTCCTCGTTCACCACAACGTAGCTGGACACCTCGTCGGAGATAATTACCCACTCGACCCCTGCACAAGTCGCAGCTGACGGAGAGGATGTGGGGTTCTGATTCGCAGCTGACAGGACAGAATGGAGCAATGCACCGGAAACGGTTAGACCAGCATTGAATGGCCGAATCAAAAGTTGGAGACATGTGAGGAATCGGGACTTCTCTCGCCTCTTTGTACCGAAGTACTTGGCTCTTCAATGCTGTTTAAAACACAGATAAATCCAAAGTTCTCAACCCTGAAAACAGCTGACCTACCCGCTGACCAGAAGATAGCGAGTTGAACAGTTTCTCAAGGACAGTTCCCCCACCATTCCAACATGAAACCCATTCATCTCTCGTATTGCTCTGGCAGCTGCTGCAAACCATTTAAATCATTTCATCGTTAATCTCTTCGGATCAATCGAGTCTACCAAAGCCTGGTCATTATGTCTCTGCAACCCCCTTCTGTCAACTCCCGGTCGTCTGTGCCACCATCTATCGACGGCAAGTTTCTCTTTGTCAATGATGACCTCCTCGCCCCTGCTGAAGTCGGAATCCTCGAGCCCTCCTTTCCCGATGAACCCGTCGAAGTCCTCCGCGATCGATACCATACTAGAGGCTACCTCCTTGTCAAGGGTCTCCTGCCCCGACAAGACGTCCTGGCCGCCCGAGAATCATACTTTGCATCGCTATTCCCAAGCGGTATCTTGAAGCCAGGCACGGCACCTAAGGAAGGCATCTTCGATCCGGAAGCGAACCCCTCGAACTACCCTGGTATAGGTGCTGGAGCCAAACGGACCACCGCCACCGCCCCTGGAAGTCAGGATAAACGCGGAATGTTCATGGATGCTGCACTGAAAGCCCACACCGACGAGTGGTACTGTGGCTCAACTGATGGCAGGGTCCCTGGGTTCTGCAACCATCCTGCCCTCAAGGCTTTCGTTGCCCATTTTACGGGTTGGGGCGATAACACCCTTCCTGTTGAAAGAACCTTGCTGAGGAACAACACTCCTGGAAACAAGGCTATCGGCGTACACTATGATCAGTCATTTATGCGCTACGGTGAGCCTACTGCAGTGACAGCGTGGGTTCCTATTGGTGATGTCAGCCTGGAGGGTGGCGGTCTGATCTATCTCGAAGACGGTATGTTGCCTTCTTCGTCATAACGACGAAGGTTCAGTACGACTTCAACTGACACTATAATTCTCTAGGGGAGTCACTTGGTGCCGAGATAGAACAGGACTTCGAACGAAAGGCAAAGGCTGCAGGGATGGACGATGAAGAGGTACGGCACGCATACAATGCAAACATGATGAGCACTGGGTGGTTGTGCAACGGTGCTGCGGACTTCGGTCGCAAGTATGGCAAAAAATGGCTTGTTACAGAGTACGAAGCCGGCGACGTTGTCTTTCATACACCTCATATGGTATGCACCTCCGCCCTAGATGCCGCAGTCCATACACCAACTGATTGACGCTTTTCTTTTTTTAGATCCATGCATCGACTGTTAACTATGATCCAAAAGGTAGGATCAGACTTGGAACTGACCTACGCTTTGTGGACTCGTCTCGGCCGTGGGATGGAGTGAGACAATCCTCCACTGAGTTGCTAGTTCTTGCTTGTTATACTGACCAACGTTGTCTAGCGATGGAACGAATACTATCGTATTGACGATGGGCTCTAGGCTGCAATGTCATGATGAACATGCAAGGAGTGCCCTGTGTTATTTTTGTCTGTAAACTTGCAACCATCTTATCGACTACTTCGCCTTTCTCTTCATACATTCATTCAGCTTTTCTCTTCTTTCAAGTGTCTGGTTGCCGTTAAGAATTTTCTTGCGATATTGATGGAGGTTATGTCAGGTTCAGCGACAGGAAATACTCCACCCAACATGCCACGCTCATTTCTCACACCCCCAGACTACCAGCAAAGTAGGCTTCCTTAAGTTTGTCAGGTTCCAACTGTTGATATGTCAGCAATTCACAATCTTTTACCATTCAATGACCCACTGATGCTGGTGGTTCCAAAACATCTCATTTTCGTGGGGGGAAGGTCCTTTATCGGCGTCGGCCGAATTGACAATAAGCTCCGAATATTGCGCAATACAGTCAAATGGCCTGATAAGCAGCACTCATTGGCCTGCAATGTGAGAGCATAAAATGCCGCGCAAGCCGCTTTCGATTTCATCACATGGTATGGACTTGATGATTGTTGTCGTGAACCTCTAAGCGACTTATTGAATCATTTCCGTCACGGCTGTGGTCTCAAATTCCTACCTCTCATTGTGAACCATAATTATCATGGGAAGCATCCCCCCTCTCAACGTCGCCATCATTGGTGGTGGACCAGGTGGTTTAGGCGCTGCAATCGAGTTTGGAAAGCTCAATTATGTTGATTGGACTCTTTACGAGAAGAAGCCTGAGATAAGTGAGACTGGTGGTGGCATCAGTCTACAGCGCCATACTTGGCGATTGCTGGAGTTGATTGGGGCTGCCAAGAATGTAGACCCAAATGACTTCTTCAGGGCTGAAGATGGAACCAGCGGACAAACAAGGTATCAAGTCTGACTGGCGATAGACCGCCCAACTATTAGCTGACCATCACTAGAAACGGAAGAACGGGCAAGCTTCTGGAGCAGAGCAATCACTCGGCAGATGTGCCTCTGCAACAACGTAGCTGCAGACTCGTCCGGGCCAAACTTCAAGCAGCGCTCCTCCAAGAGGTTGACAAATCTCGGATCAGGGTGTCAAAGAAGTTGACCAATATCGAGAAATTGCAAAACGGAAAAATTCGGATTGATTTCGCCGATGGCTTCACTGATGAAGTGGATTTGCTTGTCGGCGCAGATGGCATTAGATCTGTAAGTTCAGCTACCCAGCAGACTACCATCCTCCGTCAGCCTGCTGACTGCGACACAGTTTGTGCGCTCGTTTGCATTTCCCGACCATAAGATCAAGTACAACGGACAATCCGCTTATCGTACTATCATCTCTAAATCTGCCGCCCTCAACATCGAGGGTATTCCCAGATCACCCGTTTTCTGGCAGAACGTTGGTGGAAAGTATGTCTTTACTTGTCCCCTAGGTGGAGATGACTTTGAAGTTACTGCTCGCATCCGCCGACCGACTGAGGGTCAGGAGCATGTCAGCTGGGGTCGGCCTTTTGACTTCTCGACCATCGCCTCCGAGTATGATGAGTTCTGTGAGCCAGTCCGCAAGGTCATCCAGCTCGCGGCACAGGGTAATACTGAAGAATTTGCGTTGTTCTCGGGTGCGCGACTCGAAAGCGTGATATCGCACGACGCCATTGCTCTTATCGGAGATGCATCCCATCCGCTGTCCGGAGCTTTTGGCGCAGGAGCGGGTTTCGCTCTGGAGGATGTGTGGGCTCTTACTCGAAGCTTGGATTTTGCGCGCACAAACGGAGAAGGTCTGGCGGTAGCTCTGAAGCTATATGACCAGATTAGGTCGCCGCATTATCGAGATTTATACGGGGTTCTGGACAATTTTGCAGCAGTCAACTCGAAGCTATTGGCCGAACAGCTTCCTGCAGATGATGAAATTGAGGAAAGAGTTAGAAGAGCCAGCGAGAAGAAAGCTACTTGGATGTACCATTACGAGGTAGACAAAGCAGTGGAGAACCTTTTCGGGGGCCAAGGACAGTCTGTCCAGCCGGCAGCGCTGCTCTAAAAGCGAAGCTGTGCTCGACAGAGCACCGTCTAGCATAAAATGAAGCAGGAGCGTTATTCAATACATCTTTGCGAGTTAAAATGATAATCATGCAATAAATGCTACCAGCGGGACTGCAAAAGGAAGCTTTCTCCTTAATTTTGTCAAGCGACTTTGTCTTCCATCATCTTCGCGAGCCCTCGACATGATCAGACGATACCTCCACCTTCTCAGTCGATGTGACATTCTTCTCATCGAACTCTACGTCCTTCGAAGGGTTTGTCACAATCTCGTCTCCGAACTTGGCCGCAACCTCCTCAAGAGACAAGAACCGAGTCTCTGGCAGGAAGAAGAAGTAAATGGTTCCCGCGAATAGGTTGCACGCGATGAAGACAAAGTAAAACTTCCACGAGATTTCATCAAAAGCGATGGATGCTGCGTATGAAAGCCAAATCGCCGTGATCGATTGTGTGAAGACAGAGAAGCCGACGCCAACACCACGCAGATCGAGGGGGAAGATCTCTGCAACCAGTACCCAGTTGACGCTGTTGAAGAAGAAGGAGTAGGCGAAGGCGAAGAGAAAGATGAACGCCACTCCCGCCCGAGAGCCTGCCGGGTTAGAGCCCTCTGGGAACCGCTCTGAGAGCGCAGTCAAAACTGCAAGCAGTACGGCCAGACAGTAACTGCCAGAGATGACCGTGACGCGCCGGGTCCAGTGATCGGCGACGAAGAAGACGTTGATGATCTGGCCAACGACGGCCATGAAACCGTACAGAGCTCCGATGAGGAGGACAGTCTGTCCTTCGTAGCCAAGAGAGTTGTACATGATGGACTGATAGTTCTGAATGATGTTGGAACCAGAGAGCTTCATCATGTTGACTGTGAGGCAGGCAAGAAGAGTGCGGCGGATGTATTTGCGCGTGAACAGGTTCAGGAAGTTGGTCATGGCGTTCTTCTTCTTTTCAGACTCCAGCTGGATTTGGCTGCACATTTCGGCGAACTCTCTTTCGATGACCTCAGAGCCGCGGTGCTTGTGAAGGGTATACATGACCTGTTTGGCTTCATCGTATCGCTCTTTGGAAGCCACTATGAGATGTATGATTAGTTGAAAGATTCTGGATCTACGTGGAAGGATACGTACACCAACGCGGGGAGTAAGGGAGGAAGATGGTCATGATGGCAAGGCAGAGCGCTGGAGGGATCTGGGTAGCCAGTGGTACGCGCCATTGCAGGTCACCAACAGCAAATGAGCCGGCGTACCCAACCCAGCCAGCAGCAAAAAAGCCTAGAGTATTCATCAACCCTTTCAACCCCACGAGGAATCCGCGGTTCTCGGGGAGACTCAGCTCGGCCAAGTAGACCGGAGCTGTAGGGTAGACCATGCCAGTTGAGAAGCCAGAAAATGCGCGACCGACGATCATCATGGCTGGATTCACAGCGGCAGTCTGAAGAATGGCCCCGATGACGCTGGCGGTTGCACCCAGAAGAAGTGTCCACCGGCGAGATATCCTGTCCATGGTGTAGGCTGAGCCACCACTGCCAAAGGCGTATCCGGCATAGTATCCGGATACGATGCCAGCCCTCACCGAAGCATTGTCCAGAGAGGATCCATACATGTACAGCTTGAATGCTTTTTGGGCAATGGTCGATGCGATGATACCGGTATCGATGCCGTACACGAAGCTGCGATGTCATGTCGAGTCAGTAATTTGGCTCAATATTATGTCGACGTCAAGTTGCAGATAATTTTACGAACCCTGCGAGACTGATAGCTAGACCTATCAGGATCGATCTAGTCGAGTTGCCGCGATGACCCGCTGTACGTTTCGTCATTGTGTAAGTGTGAGTCTAAGGCGTGATGCTTTATATTCCACTTAAGGACATTCAAGAATGAGAGACGATGTTGAGAGCAGTGATGATGCCAACCTTGACTGGAATACTTCAAGCCTTCATAGACTCTAACTCAAGATCAGGGTGCAGTTACTAAACTTATAAACCCCAATATTCCGGTGTATCAACTTGCGAAATCCTTGGGCCCTTCGGCAATGTCTCCGTGCAAGTCGGGCTGGACGTGGCTCATCCTGATGTCCACTTCCCCGCACAAAGGAACGATGAACTCCACCCCCGCATTCACCCCAAGATTCCCCCGTGAAAACAACTTGCCGAAACCCCGTGGGTGGCTTCTTGCATGGGTTGACGGCCCTGAGTGGTACGAGCTTCGGGGCCCAGCGGATCCATATTGAGGAGAATCGTCTGACGGCCAGGTTTGTGGTCAGCCAGGACCTTCCTTTCAGGTTTAGTTCATCCGAGGAGATCGTGTATTAGAGCCTCCGAAGCTTGTAGCTCCTGATGATACATGGAGACGCATGAAACCCCGGCAACGAAACGAGACTCATGTCGGTACGAAGAAGTGGTGTACACTGCCGCGTAAAACCCGGTTGGCAGACGCCCCACGAGTAGTCCGGAGATATGTGCGGATAAGCCATCATATGAAAGGCTGTGAGAAACAGTGCATGCATAGCCAGATTTATGGGATCATTGATTGTAAGCCATATAGCGTGTCATATGTAGAGATCCTGACGTCGTATCGGGAGCAGATGAACAACTGTTTCAGAGGAGGAGTCAGAAAAGTATGAACACCAGCTTGTCATACACAAAGATCATTGAATGGTCTTCTTTCCAACGCTCAGTATTTTTAGATTTCAACTTTCGTCAATAGAAGGATGGCATAATTGAAGTGTGACTCTTCATTTCATTACGGATCTACACGATCACTCACGTTGAGAACATTCTGAATATAAACAGCTAGTTACATGACCTCATTCTATGCTACCACTTGGGTATCTTCGCTGAGAAATCCGGCTGGAACTTCTGCATATATGTAGTATCATCTCGCTTCCGCAAACCGCAGTCGAGATACTGCTGATGAAGCTTAGCCAGCCTCTCCCTATCAAGCTCAACTCCCAGACCAGGCGCTGTTGGCACATTAACACCACCATCGGACCATGTAAGCGCGCCGTCAATCACAACATCCTCGTTCCGTGGCTTCCAGGGCCAGTGGGTATCACAAGCGTAGTCGAGGTTGGGAGTCGCCGACGCTAGATGGGTCATCGCCGCAAGCGAGATACCCAAGTGGCTGTTGGAGTGCATCGAGAGACGCATGCCCCAGGTCGCGCAGATTGCCGCCAGAGTCTGGGACTTGCGCAGGCCCCCCCAGAAGTGGTGGTCTGAAAGGATGACCTGCACCGCGTTCTGGAGGATGGAAGGCGGGAGATGTGAAAACGCAACAACGGCCATGTTTGTGGCCAGCGGCATCGAGGCCTCCTTAGCTACGGCTGCCATACCCTCGATCTCGGGGGCAGGATCCTCCAAGTACTCAACAATGCCGTCGAGCTCTTTGGCAACCCACTTAGAAGTCTCAACAGTCCAGGCGGCATTGGGGTCCAGCCTCAGGGGCACCCCGGGAAACGCTGCATGCAGGGCCTTGACTGCCTCGACCTCCTGGGCCGGCGGGTATACACCGCCCTTGAGCTTGATGGCCTTGAATCCGAATTCGTCAATGATTTTCTTCGCCTGCCGCACGAGGCCTTCCGGGTCTAGCGCGGGGCCGTACTCATCGTCTGCGTCTCCAGGGTGCCCCGCCCATTTGTAGAACAGGTACGCAGAGTACTGGACGTTGTCTCTAACGCGGCCGCCCAGTAGTTCGCTGACGGGCACGCCTGCAAACTTGCCTTGGATGTCGAGGCAGGCGACCTCGAATGGGGAAAAGACCTTGTCGGCAACGGAGGCGGTTGTCACCATGCCCGCCATACCGTCGCCGCCAGTGGTGGTGTCGCCTTTTAGTGAGTTGACGCATATTTGGTAGATGGCATTCGTGTCGTAGATTGTGAGGTTCTTGGTCTTGATCTGATCGGCAGCCGCCTGCAAGCGACCGAGGTGCGTTGAGTCGCCGTAGGATTCACCCAGCCCGTAGACTTGGTCATCCGTGACTACCTCAATGATGCTGCGCAGGGCAAATGGTTCATGCACGCCGACGCTGTTTAGCAATGGCATGTCATGAAATGCCACCGGGGTGATGACAACATCTCGGATAATGCCACGAGGAGACATGCTGATTCTAGGCTTTGTTGGTTTGCAACGCTGTGTTCAGGTGGGCTGGTAGGAGCTTGCGTCTCTCAGAATTGGAGCCTACCACCAGATCTTTCCCGTCTTTTTAACACCCGAAGATGGTACTCATCGAATGGCCGTTGTCGCAGCGCTTCCCCAGAAGATCAGCAGATCGAAAGCCGGGGTGGGGTCCTGAATATCCGCCGCGTTTGCGGATAAGAGGAGGTGGACAAGGATCGGCTCCTCCGCATTCCTGGGGAAGTTCACTCCTCGAAACGGATAAGCGCATCCGCGGAACGGACCCTGGTCTTCCTCGGCCCCCGCAACTAACACCAGGTCATTTGTCCAGCTCACGAGTTGATCCGAGGAATGGTCAAATCGACGATACTTGACATCCGAGGAAACGATGGATGAGACGTCAACGACACGATTTCCCCGCATCCGTCGAGCATCCGATGCGCCGGACGATGGCCGAGCACCCAAACGGCTGAAAGAGGATCCCATTCGGCCGCGGGTCAACAGAGCATGCGATCGCTGCAAGTCGTGAGTATCCCGAGGGAGTAATGTTGACTGCCGGAGTAGACTAACGTCGCTTGATTCAGGCGCAAAACGCGATGTTCGGGGACTTGGCCTTGTGTCTTCTGCGCTCACCTTCAGCTTGACTGCCAGTTCACGGCGACGTATCGACGAGGCCAACTTCTACCAGCAGTCGACAACGAAACTGCGGCCTCTGACTATTCAAGAGACCTCGGCCGCTCTCCTTCGACCTCGGAACAGAGGAACGGAGCTGATGGCAGCAATCACCAAGACTCAATCTCTAACGGAACCCGGGTGCAGTTTCACTCGCAAACAACTGCACTTTCAGGGTCGGCGCTGGATTTGTCTCCTTCCGGGATTCGAGCTGCTGAACCTCTTGATGTCTTGAATACCCAGTCCCAAGAGCTACATCAACATCAGCCCTCCACTCGCAACTCACCTGAGCCCTCTCAAACGGATGAACAGGGCCACTATGTGGGCCCGGCTTCTGGAGTCTCATTTCTCTTGAGGATCCAGAGGAAGCTGCAAGTCCAATCTCCCGGTTACTTCAACTCTTCAGTATTCAACTTTGGCGATCGACCGTTACCTGGACATGACTCCTCCTTCGCGATCTTGCCACCAAAGACCATAGCAGAGTCGATGGTCAAGAGATACTTCGCCTTCGCCGCAACCACGCACCGCTTTTTACATCGTCCTTCTGTGGAATCATGGCTGGAAGAGCTGTACGACACTCACGGTGCTATGCTCTACAAAGAGTGTGCTCGGAGTCGAACGGCAATCCTCTTCATGGTGTTTGCTCACTCCAACAATTACCGAAGTCGCTTGTCTGTTGACGGCAAGGATTCGACATGTGAGTCAACTGAAGTTAGTGCTCGGTTCTTTGCCGTTGCAGAGCACCAATTGTCGATGGAGAAGGGCCAGATAAGCTTGGCGCACGTGCAGGCACGCCTAGCCCAGTGCTTCTATCTCTTAGCCCAGTCCCGACTTAATCACTGTTGGACTCTATTTGGCATTACGGCCCACCTGGCTATGGCTCTCGGAATACACAGGAAGTCCAGGCTTGACGGCAAGTCAACGGATCGCGCCAATCATATCGATTTGGAGTGCCGGAAAAGAACGTTCTGGTGTGCGTACAATCTCAACACATATTTAAGCGCTGCTTTAGGTCGGCCTATGACGTTCCATGATGAGGATATTGACCAGGAATTACCCCTATGTATTGATGACGAACAACTCCTCTTTGGCTTATCGTCTAAGCCAATTGTCTGCGGGCCATCAGTAACTTCTGGTAGTGTGGCTCAAATAAGGTACGAAGACTCGATCTTTCGCCGAGTTGACGGCAAGCTAAAGTACTACTCAGGTTATCTCGAATCCTTGCACAAATTCTCCGGGCTTTTTACGGAATACGTTCTCCATCTACCGAGGAGCACTTTGCATTAGCCGAGAAGTTCAGCAAAGAGTTAACTGAATGGCGAGATCACATATCCTACCTTCTGGATGCCGGCGGCAGCTCCGCCATTTTTGTCAAGTTGGTTCTTCGTCAACGGGATGTTCTCAAGCTTGCGTACTGGCATGCCCAAATTCTTGTCTATCGACCGTTTCTGTTGAAGACATTCTCTGCTGTGGACACCAATGACGAAAGCTTTCTATCAACTAAACAACAGCAAACCCAACAAAACATCAAAAGTTGCATTGATGCGGCGATGAGTATTGCTGAGCACATTGACACCATTGACTCTGCCGGGGAATTCTACAGCACTTTGTTCGTAAGTTGACTTGCCCCGAGACTTGAGATGGGTACTGACACATAACTCATTCTAGTTCATTCCATACTACGGCTTCAGTGCTGTAGTAATTCTCTACGTATACGCGATCCAACAACGAGCAGAGGCGCCTGAGAAGTATTCTCTTTGCTTTCAGCTGGCTTCGAAATGCCATTCCCTGTATGAGAGAAACTCAGTGAAGGGTACCTTGACGCAACGCTATGGGGTTGTTTTACAAGAACTGCGCCTCGAAGTTCTCCGGAACAACAACTACCTGGCTTCTACTTCACCCATCCAGGCTGGTGGAGACTCCGTGCCCAGCGAAATGATGACAGCAAGAGATTCTTCAACAGCAACTGCGATGTACAACGTAAGAGCGAAAAGCCAATTTGACGACCTGCACACCGGCTCAAAGGCTGCAACATCTCAGATAGTAAACACCACCGAGGACCAACTAGTCAATGGCAATGCTGGCCATGTAACTTCAGTTGACGCTTTAAACACCGAACTCTTTCAAATCAGCGATTGGGGCCAATTTGACTCTTTGGTAAGTGCAGAAGTCATTTGATGTTTCCAGAGATTGTCAGCTTACTGACACGACTGGCGATACAGGTTACGGGCGGCATCGGAAGCTTGGACGCCTTTGTCCTCGGTGAGCCTAATGAGACCTGGGAAAATATCAACACTTCAGACTTCAACACCTGAATCGGCGTATCTCGATTCATTCTCTCCCCCCTCGGCCGGCATCCGCAACTACCGTGCCGAATTTTCAGAGCCGCGAAAACCGCCGGGTTGGCGTCTCCACAATCGGACCGTACTCGGGCCAACCACCGAGTCTGCAGAGAGAGAAAAAGACGCGAGTCAAGTGGGAGTCCAGTTTAATTACCCACTTCGCTGAAATATGTCTGCGCACTACGTCATGCCGGAATTCTGTCCTGCGTTGAACCCAGTACCCAGGGGTCCAAGCGGCGCAGGCTAACGCTAGCCCCCCTACTCACGTAGGGGGCGAAAAAACAGGGTTTCCACGCAAAAAAGGGGGTTTCTACCTAGATCACTAAAAGTAGCATTTTTCAGTATTAATCCACTAAATTAATAACTTTTCGTAATATAATTTTTAACCTTAACTATATTATATAGTAATAAAAGTGTTATTATTATATTACTCTTAAGTAGGGCTATCTAGCTATATATATAATATCTATATATCTTATATAAATATTAATATACTATAGAAGATAACTATATTATCACTTTCTATATTATTAATAATATATTTCTATTTCTTTACTACTTATATTAATAGAGGTGTTATTAGAGGGTTACCTTTAGTAATACTATAAATATAGAAGTATATTAAGCCCTCTTATATAGTAAAGATAGGCGCTTAGTATAATACTAATATAGCTAGCAAAACTAGCGTTAGTAATAGTAGTAACTTAGGCTTATTAGTATTAATACTATTATTATTAACACTTAAGTTACTAACTAAATTAATGCTTAAAGTAGTATTATTACTATCTTCCTTAATAAGGTTATTAATATTATTAAAGACCTTTAGGTTATTATTATTAATATAATACCCTCTTAAAGCTAGTAGATCTTTAATATTAAGGTAGCTAAGAAGCCTTATATAGTACTTAATAATATCTTAACTCTCTTTTAGTAATAGTATAAAGTTAAGATTAATCTACTACTTAAGCTTAAATATTTTATACTATTATAAATCTTTTAAGTTAAATATAATATAATTATTAAATCTCTTAGTATATTTTAACTATAGTATAAAGTTTAACTTCTTTATATACTTATTAATTAGTTAATACTTATTAGTATTATACTCTACTTATAATACTTTCTCTTATTATTAAGCCTCTTTTTTTATAGTAATATATTACTATTTAAGCTCTTTCTTAGAAGCCTTAATTACTTACTTCTTATAATACTTTTTAATCTCTATAAATAATATACTAATAATAAATAAATAAGCTAGTTTAATACCTCACTAAGTTTACTACTTATATTACTATATCTCTATATATATATTATAGTTAATAATATACTCTTAGCCTCTCTTATAGTATAAATTACTTTCACTAATTATAGCTTTAATTACTTTATATCCTCTTTAAGTAGGAGAGCTTTACTTAGTAGTATAATATTATTTAATTATATTTACTTATAGTATAGCTCTCTTAAACTTATTATTATCTAGTAAATAGCAAAATAAATAGCTAAGAATATTAACTTAAGCTAACTATATATATTTAACTAATTAAGAGAGAACTATATTATCTCTAATTAGCTAGATACTTAACTTTTTAAACCTTATTATAATATTAGCTAAAATAAATATAATATTTATTATCTACTAAAGCTTATTAATAAAGTTTCCCTAAGTAAAAGTAAGGTTACTACTTTATATAAACTCTTATAGTACTATTTAATAAACCTTCTTAAATAGCTAAAAGACCCTTATATCTATAAATTAAAATAGATATATAGCGTAAAGAGGAAAAAAACTAATAATAATATTAAAGTTAATATAGTATTCTATAAGATCTAAGCTAATATAACTAGAAAAGCTATTAAAAAAGAGTAAATAATATAGCTTTATATTAGATTCTTTTTAGAGAATATCTCTATATAACTTAGTATAAATACTTAGTATTATACTATATATCTTAAGCTAATTAGAATAGCTTCTATATATATTAACGCTAAACTATAACTCTATTATATACCTAAGCTATTAGAACTTTACTAACTACTTAAATAAGTATATATTAAAATACTTAATATAATTTATTATAATCTTTTAATTAGAGAAAGTAGTAAGAGACTATATAAAGTAAATACTTTTATTAATATTATAATTAGCTTAAGTAGTAATTAGCTATATCTTAAAAATAAAATAAGCTAAGATAATATCTCTAATAGTATTACTAATATTAATAAAAATATATAACTCTTTATTAGCTAGATTAATAACTTCTTATAGTTTACTCTACTTCTACTATCCTTAGAGTAAAATAATATATATATAATTACTAAAGTAGCTAATATAGTAGTTAAACTTATTAGTATTCTATATCTTAAAAAGCTTAAGTTTATAATTTTAAACTATAGCTTTATATTAATTAAAGAAATCTTAGATTAGTACTAGATTAAACTTAATACTTTTCTAATAAACCTTAATAGGTTTAATCTTTAATCCTTTTTAGAACTCTAAGTAGTTAGACTTCTAAGATCTTATAAAGTGCTCTAAAATAAAGCCCTTATTTTAGCTAGCTTAAAAAGCGTTAGCTATCTCCTTAATAATAATTAGAGTTACTAAGAAGTTAATAATATTAAACTATATTATAAATACTACTAAAGCTAAATCTTTAACCTTTATTACTACTTTTAGCTAGCTACCCTCTTTAAGTAATATAGAGAGGTTATAACTAGCTTAGAGAGCTTTTAGATATTTCCTAATTACTATATAAAATACCTTATAGTCCTTAGTAATAGCTTAGATTAATAGTACTATAAATAGAGGTTTACTAAAGTAACTAGAGTAAAAAGCTTAATATTACGTAGTATATAATACTTATATAGCCTATTTAGTAAGCGTTAAGTTAGTATTACTCTAATAAAGTATCTTAGTAACTAAGATTAAATAAAATAATTAAAAAAAGTATAGTTTTAGGTTATAGCGTAGTCTTAAAAAAGATATTTTTTAGTAGTAAAACGAGAAAAACGTAACTTTTATATAACTAGCTAGAAACCCCCTTTTTTACGTGGAAACCCCATTTTTTCGCCCCCTACGTAAGTAGGGGGAGTTTTGCGCTTAACGTGGCTGACTAACGCCCCCAGGTACGTAAAAGACCTCGGGCTCCCGGCGGCCATGGCGGAATGTGGACGCGGGCTTTTTTCGACACCTTGTAGGGATAAAGAGCCGCCAATGGCGAAGGGACCAAATGACATCATTCCGCTGCAGAACGTGCTGACCGAAGGTTTCAGTCGCTCAAATGCAAGCTTCCCGTTGGTTGCCTGTTCGGCAGAGCGGGACCTGAAATCTGTTGTTATCTCGTCCTAAACGTGGTCCCTGGACGGGTATCTGAAGAGGCACAGCGTTGATCGCAACGGCGCGTACTCCGATCTTCTCGCGTAGATCTCCTCGATGCTTGAAGAGACGGAGAGAGAAAGAGAAAGATGCTTTCCGCTCGGAGACGATGGCTATGACCACATGTACCAATCAGGCACAACATTGACCTTCGCGAGAACCTTGACTCGCCCGTCCATCTGAATGGTGATCAATGAAATGCAGTCTGCTTGAAACCTGCCTGCGCTCTTTTTCTGGAACCCACTTGCCCCTCCATTGCCCCTCCATCCGCATGGTTCCTGTTGATTCCCACCCCACCTTGTCACAGGCCGCCGATCACTACAAATCTGCCATTGACAATTAACAGCTCGCAGCTCTGTGATCTTTTTTTTCTTCTCTTCCTCCTCATCAGCAACTTTCTACCCAGATTTCAAAGTCTCAAGCCATTCAACCGCCAAAATGCCTCAGGTGAGTAACATCGAAGCCCATTCCGGAGCTCCGTTCACGTCCTGCGATGACAATGATGCTTACCACCAGAGCCATAGGTCAAGTGCATCCTCTTCGACTGCGACAACACGCTCGTGTTGTCCGAGATCTCGGCCTTCACCGCCTGCGCGCAGCTCGCCAACGAGATCCTCGAGAAGTACGGCATCGAGAAGCGCTACCAGGGCGTCGAGCTCATGCACAAGTACGTCGGCCGCAACTTCCCCAGCATGATGGCCGGCCTCTTCGAGGTGCACAACTTCACCATGCCCGCCGACGAGCTCGACACCTACACCGCCCGCGAGCTCGAGCTCACCATCTCGTACCTGCGCAAGCAGGCCGCGCCCTGCAAGAACGTCGTCCCCGTCCTCGACAAGATCCACAAGGAGGGCAAGTACGCCAAGGCCATCGTCTCCTCCTCCGCCATGCCCCGCGTCGTCGCCTCCGTCGAGACCATCAAGATCGACCAGTACTTCGGCAAGCCCAACGAGGGCATCTTCTCCGCCGCCAGCAGCATCGACCCCCCGACCTCCAAGCCCAACCCCGCCATCTACCTCCACGCCTGCAAGGTGCTCGGCTTCGAGCCCAGCGAGTGCATCGCCATCGAGGACAGCAGGAGCGGCGCGACCGCGGCGAAGAACGCCGGCATCCCCCTGCTGGGCTACGTCGGCCCCTACTACGACGAGGAGAACCCCGAGGAGAAGGTCGCTGCCCACGTCAAGCTGTTCTCCGAGGAGCTCGGCGCGTTCGAGGTTATGCACGACTGGAAGGACTTTGAGAGCATCTTGAACAAGTTCGAGAGCTCATAGATACCCCCTTTGACTATTTTTGAGGCTTGAATGAGTGATGAAAACAGGAGGTTGAACACTAGCAACCGGCGGATTTCCTACGTACTTGGCAAATGATATAGACATAGATCTTGGGCGAATAGAAAGGCTGCAAATCGGGTGATTGATTCCCGACAAATTAGCGCATCCATGTTAGTGCTCTCCCGTTGGTCTCACAATTTCTTCTCGACGGCAACTAAAGAGTGTCGTAGGAAAATTGCATGTTGGTCAGATGAATCGCGGTGAATGTGTGTCATCTGATGACCATGTCCTGGTTCCCAGATTTTGAGCGCATGACACGCGACAACGGCGCAAGAGCCACTGATAAAAATAGCCATCAACGATGCTTGAGTGATCGCATTCTCGTGGAAATGCAGGAAAAGTGTCTCCGTCTTATGGAGGCCTGAGTTAATTGATTGCCTCTCACATCAGTTGCCCAGCACTAGGAAGAGGTGAGGCTAAAGCGCGGCCTCCATTGCTTTACTTGCTGGATCATTTACTCACAGCATCCTTGAATTTGTTTAGAAACATACGGCAAGTTATTGTCTCAACTTCAACTCCAAATTCTGGTCTTGGCATCGGGTTCATGAAACGACGACTGAGGCAGTATAAATAGGCTGAACGACCCTTCAATCCTTCAGTAGTTCTCTATTTACACAACAGAGTTTTAGGTTGCATGTTGGAATATAATTACAACCACTCACCTGAATAGTTCAACCTGCGGAAACCCCTCACTCATCAACTCGTCATTATGAAAGTACCTGAGATTCTCGTTCTCGTCTCGATGGCTCTTGGCGCTACGGCCCGCTGCAAAAAGGCCATCGCCAGCTTGTGCGAATCAAATTCCTCAGCGGTCGCGCAAGGCTTTACGTCTAGCTTCACCTGTCAATCGTCCGAAGAGCTTCCTTGTCAGACAGAGTGCATCACCACTGGCACCAAGGGAATCGAGGTGGCGAAGTGCTGCAAAAGCGCATGTATGATGACCCTTCACACATTGAAGCAACATTGTTACTGACAGATCATACAGGCACGTGAGGCGATTCTTATACCGCAACGCTATGAGATGATCGCGAAGCAGATATCCGGGTCGAGAGGAGAGAAGAGGATCAGCATGTATTTCTCAAACAGCATCATTCACTCCTAATGAACATCATCTTAATCAGAGAGTTCCGCATACACACGATTTATCTATGGTATTCTACTGATACACTCCATTGCGTTGACAGCGTCCGCCCCCCTTTTTTTTCCCCGCTTATGCAAAAACATGAAAAAAAGCTAATTTTACGCTATAACGCGCATTTCTCTATATTATATATAAAACGTATTAAAGTTATTACTAATACTTTAATTACTATTAATCACTATAGTCCTAGTAGTATTTAAACGTATAACTATATAATAGAGATATAAAGTATATATTTTATACTTCTATAGTAGTTAATTTACTTATTAAGGTATTACTAACCTAGCTAGTTACTTTATCCTTATATTATTTAACTAATAAAAGGTTTATTTTTATTATAAGAGATTAAGATAATATTTACTAAAGAATAAAAAAAAAGACCTACTATATAACTTTATATATTTACTTAGTATATAGTTTATATAGTTCTAAATAATATATAAATATATTAAAGAGCTTAATATAGTTCTTTAGAGTAAATACTTTAGTAGTTAATAGGATTAATAAATCTCTTAATAGCTTAGTTTATTTATAATATTAAGTAAAAGTCTATTACTATATAGATTATACTTTATTACTTATAGTTTACTATTAATTAGTATATATCTATAATTTATTATATTAGATATATTAAGAAAGATATTAAGTAATAATAATAATATAATAGCGCTTAAAATATTAAATCTATAGCTATTAATAATTATAATAATATTACTATTTAAAAACTAAAAGACCTATAAGCTAGTAAGTATTATTAACTATACTAAATAAATAATTTAATAATATAGATTATAATATAATATTACTAATAAAGTATAGAGATATAAAAGGTATTATTAAAGTTAATAAAAAATAGAAATATAGTATTATATAAAGCTTCTTAAACTACTATAATATTATAGTAATCTATTTCTTAAAGAGATATAAGATTTCCTATATAAAACTTTTAAGATCTAGATTAGTTATTCTATAATTAGTTAATAGTTAAACTTAGTTAGCTAAATAAATAAGAAGTCTAAAATTATTACTACTTAGTAAAGTAATAACTTATAATATAAATACTTATATTATATATAATAATATTGCTTTAACTAGCTAGTATTTATTAATAAATCTAGTATTAATAAGGATACTAAAATATAGAGGATTAAATAAATACTAAAAAGGCTTATTATATTTTAAACTATAGAGATTAATTAGTTTTAAAACTCTTATATATAAATCTTATTAGTTTTTATATTAAGTAGTATCTTATACTTAACTATATATTATAGTATAACTAATAATAATAGGTTTTTTTATTAGCTATAAGAGTACTTTATCCTAAAGTATAGGTGTTTTCTAGAGCTAAACTCTATTATTATTATAGATAACCTCTCTTACTATTATATACTTTAAATTAAGACGTTATACTAAGTATTAAGTATCTATTTTAAGTTTCTACTTTTATATTTATTAGACTTTAACTTTATTAAAGAGTACTTTAGTAATCTAAAATAATATATTAAGAAGATATATTTAAAATAGAATAATAATAAGAATAATACTTAGGATTTTATAGAATATCTATATAACTACGCTATAGAGATTAAGTATTATCTACTTTAGATTAAAAGCTATTTCTACTATTTATTTATTAACTTTAATAAAATAAAGTATATATTTAATAATATTAAACTATAAAAGGGAGAATAAGCTATAAGTATTAAATATTAATAAGTAATCTAAATTTTTATTATATGTTTATATATAATAAATCTTAATTATATTATTATATAATAGTTAATTATTAAATCTATAATTATAGCTAATAAGATTACTAAAAGGTTAGCTATAAGTATATTAGAATATAAAAAATATACTATTATCTATTATTTTTATTAATAGCTATATATATATATTAATTTTACCTATATAATAGCTAAAATATATTATTAATACTTATAATAATAATTTATAATAATAATATATTATTATAATTAAAAACTTTAATTATAATTAGAAACTTTAACTACCTCTAACTAATATTAAGATAGACTAAAGTATATTATTTATAGATCTAAAATAATAATAATTTTATTACTTTTATATATATAGAGTAGTAGTATTAAATCTATAACTATAAGTAGACTTTTCTATAGTTAAATATATTATATAAAAAATTATATATATAGTTAAACTTTATATTACTCTTACTATATTACTCTTCTTTATTATCCTCTTCTAAGTAATATATCTTTATTAATAATATATTACTTAAGATTTTAATCTAATTATCCTTATTACTTTATTTAACTTTATTTTATTTAATTTATAACTATATAAGTAGTATTTATAATACTAATAGTAGTAGTAATAAAATAAAACTAAAGAGTTCTAAAACGCCTATAAAGTTAGCTATATTTAATAGTAAATAGCTTTATATATACTTACTATATTAACTAACTTTAACTAATATATTATAGATCTCTTATTTAATAGATTAATATAGTACTAAAGTGTTAATATATTAAAATAACCTTAACTTATTTAAAACTAATACTATAAAGTTTTTAATTAGTACTACTATTATCCCTCTTAATAATCTAATATATATTTTTATATAAATATCTCCCTCTAACTCTTAATAATTTAAATAAAATTTAAAGTAAGATATTATATTAGAGAAAGTATTAAACTACCCTTTATAGTAAGCGCTATTATCTATAAAGGATTTAATTAAGTTCTTAATATCTTTAATAAGATATTAAGTAAAACCTTATTTAGTAAACTAAATATCTAATAACTTATAAATTACTTATAAACTACTATCTATTAATTATAGTTTTTATAGCTTTTTTCTAAACTCTTTATTAATATTATATTACTTACTATAGATAGATATAAACTACTTAATAAAGCTAGCTACTTAATTTAGAGCTTTTTAAAGTAAATCTAATATTACTAATAAGGATAAATAAATTAGGAGTATAATACTTAGTTAATAAATATTTAGAATATTTAATAGTAGAAGAGTTAGTAATAAATATTATAAAATATTTATATATAGCTAATATAGTAGTAATAGTATTACTAGTAGTAGTAGCTATATATATAAGTTAGAATATTAAAGATAATAATCTAACGCCTCTATATTACTATATATATTAATAATAGCGTTACTATTAGTATTAGTTAAATTAGATCTTAACTTTAATAATAGAAGTATAGTATTTTTAGCTTTCTCTTTTATTATTACTATTATTTATTAATTATTATTAACCTTAATAATATTTTTATTTCTCTTATTTTAGTGTTTTTAATTCTCTATAAACTAATTATAAAGAATCTTATTAAGTAGTTTTTTAAATAGTTCTATATTATTAATACTAACTTATCTAGTTATAATAGTTTTTACTTACTTCTCTATATAGTGAGATTTAATTTTATAATACTTTTAGCTTAATATATAGTATTAGTTAAACTTCTTATTACCTAAATTATTCTTATATCTCTAGTACTCTAAGTAGATATATATATAGAGAAGTTATTTATATATTCCCTCTTTCTAATATTTAATATTTATAGGATTATTAGCTTTATAATTAATTACTTCTTATATACTAGCTAAAATACTTATTTAGCTACCTTTTTAAGGTATTTATATACTAATTATTATACTACTAGAGATTAATATAACGCTATATTACTACTTAATAATAAAGTAGATTTTACTCTTCTTTTTAGTTTATTTAAGAAAGAGGATAATATTAACTTATAGAATATTTAGCTAAATAACCTCTCTAGTAGATAGATAGACCTAAGTAAAAATTAATATTAGTTTAGATATATTAATAAACTTCCTCTAAATAATAATAATAATAATATTAGCTTTTTTTATAATATATAAGTAAACTACTTCTATTTTAAGTTAAGTACTACTATTTACCTTTTAATCTCTACTATTTATATCTAATATAGGAGTAATATTAAATCTATTATATATAATATTTTTAATAATTAGATTAAAAATAAGTAAACTATTATTTTTAAACGCTAAGCTATAAATAACTTAGATTTATAGTAAAGTTAGTTCTTTATTATTTATATTATCCTCCTCTTTAAATATATTATAAAATAATATAAATATATTATTAGTACTATAGTAAAAAGCTATAAGTATATTATCTATAAATTAAGTAGTTTAATAAAAAGTTAGGTTAACTAAAGTTAAATCTAATTAAAATAATAATATTAATAAAAATAAAGTATTTTAGAGCTAAATTATATATAGTAAATCCTTTTTTTACTTTTTCTATATTATTATTACTTTTTAGTAAAAGGATATTTTTAAAGTTCTTTATAATAATAGAGGAACTATAAATATATACTTTTTTTATAATATAGATTTAGTTACTACTAAATTATTAGTCTTAAGTTTAGCTTTAGTAATAATAACCTCTTTAGTAGTTTCTTTAGTAGTAATAGCTTAATAAGCCCTTTTAATAAGTATAATAATCCTAATTAATAGTAAAGTAAAGTATTAAAGAGGATCTCTAGTAGTATTCTATACTAGTTATTATATATATTATTATTTCTATATACTATTAGTAATAAGTAATAGATAATACCTAGAAGGGTTATTATCTACTTACTAAGCTATATAGTAGTATTTAGGAGGTATTATAATACCCTTAAATAATAAGATTTAATAGAAATAGATTAATTAAAGCTATTAGAATAGGTTAATTACTATACTATAAATATCTACGTAGTATTAGGTAAATTTTTATATATATATAGGGATTATGCGTGCGTAATTTCGGTAAAAAGGGGGGGCGGACGCTGTTAAC